TATTCTAGCGGAAGATTCACTACTCTCGACATCCACAAGAAACAAAAATCATGACCGTGTATTTGTCCGTATTTCAAGATGAGTGCAGCGAGGCCCAAAGCATAAAAGAGAACACAAAAAGAAACGAAACCGGACTCGCTCGAGAAAAAAAAGTGCCAAACGCGTCAGACACGTCAGGCGCACTGCATCAGGCGCATCAGAATCTTACATCGGACCTCTCACGCATCGCGATGCAAACGATCGCGCATCAGAATTTGACATCGGATGTCTCACGCATCCCCATGCAAACGATAGCGCATCAGAATTTTACATCGGACGTCTCTCGCTTAGCTATTCTAACGATCGCGCGTCATAATTTTACATCAGACGTCTCACGTTTCGCGATGCAGAAACACTAACGTGGACCATTGCATATCGGTGGCACGCCCGATAAGCTTTCGTAGGATTGTTTGAAAAACAAGGAAAAAACAAAAAAAATAAAAACAAACTTTTATGTTATGCAGAAACATGATACAAACAACTTTTGCCTAGGAGTCATCCCCGAATTCCCAACCAAACTAGAGTAAGAAATCAAAACTTAAAAATATAATATTATCATAATAATTGAAAACACATTTGAAAACATGTTTTTATAATTTTTATTCTCTTAAAGTTTTCTTTAAGGTTTTTAATTTGTAAATTGAGATTGGTTACGAATTTGGGTACGACTCCCAGGCAAAAGTTGTTTGTATTATTATTCTGCACAACATAATTTGTTTCTCAGATGTTTTAGGATTTTTTTTTGTTTCCTTACACGATTTTGTGTTCATACGCGTAGGCACTGCGGGGTTGGGTGCCTCTTTCTGCAACCCCTCCTCCTTTCCCCTTTTTTCTCCTTACTACTTCCTTCGTTCTTCTCTCTCCTCATCCTCCTTTATTCATTGTTCTCCTCCTCCCGCTCCTCCTTTCTCCATTTTCTTCTCTGTCCTCCTCCTCCTTCACACCTCCACTCCTTTCTCACTCCTCCTTGTCCTCCTTTCTCGCCGCATGGGCATCCACCCTGCAGCGTGGCGCGGTCTCAGCACTTGGCCGAAAGACGACACAAACGCCGGCGTGAAGCAGGAAAATAAAGAAAAACCGAACAATGGAGGAAGAGAACTACAAGAGCACAGGTGGACGAAGAACAAGGGAGGAAGGATGAGGAAGAGAAGCCAGGGGAGAAGCAACGAATAAAGGAGGACAACGAAGAAGTAGAACAAAGAAAGGAGCAGGAGGGAGAACTACAAGAAAACAGGTGGACGAAGATCAAGGGAGGAAGGATGAGGAAGAGAAGCGAGGGGAGAAGCAACGAATAAAGGAGGACAACAAAGAAGTAGAACAAAGAAAGGAGCAGGAGGATGAGAAGTACCACAAAAGAGGTACTCCTCTCTTCGTTCTTCTTCTTTGTCCTCCTCCCCGTCCTTTATTTGTCCTTCTCCCACTCCTCCTTTCTACCTCTTTCTTCGTTCTCCTCCTCCTCCATCCTCCTTTCACCCTCCTCCTCCTCCTCCTTCCTGGCCACATGGCCATCCCTGTCACCACGTGGCCAAAGATGACGAAAACACGATCAGTGGAGCAGAGGGGGGCGGGGGGGACCGCAATGAACTCGGATACAGAATGGAGGGGGCCTTGGACCGCAATGAACTCGGATCCAACGAGAAGTACAAGAAAAAAGGTGGATGAAGAACACATGGCGAAGGAGGAAAAGAAGAAGAGAAATAGAGGAGGATGACTAAGAAAAAGAATGAAGAAAGAAGGGTGAGGAGGGGAAGACGAAGTAAGAAAGAAGATGAACGACGACGAAAAAGGAGGAAAAATCCGCTTTCTGACTTCTCCTCCCCCTACTCATTCTTTCTTCAGTCTTCTCCTTCGTCCTCCTCCTCCTCCTCCACCACTCCTACTTTCCCCCTCCTCCTTTCTTCCCCCTCTTTTCTCCCTTCTCCTTGTCATTTACACTCGCCCTGTCTTGCCATGCCCCCGCTCCTCCTCCTCCACCACTCCTACTTTCCCCCTCCTTTCTTCCCCCTCTTTCTCCCTTCTCCTTGTCATTTACACTCGCCCTGTCTTGCCATGCCCCCCCTCCCAAGCCTTTCACCAAGCGCTAGCTCCCTCCTAAGTTCCTAACCAATCAGCTGGCCACTGTGGCAAGAGTGACAACAGTGACGGTAACGTGAACAAGGAGAATGGGAGGGGAAGAAGGAAGGAGGAGGAAGAGCAACGGAGTTCATGATTCTGATCACGAACTCTGTTCTTCCTCCACCTTCTCCTTCTCCTCCTTCGTCCCGTCACCGCCTCACAGACCATCACCAACAAGAACAGAGAAAGCTGGTGGACAAGGACAAAGAAAAGACGACGACGAAGAAGGCAGGAGAGCGACGATGACGATGAGAAGCACAAAGAGAGGACGAAGACAGCGAACTCGCCTTCAGCAATGACCACCACGATGACGATGAGAAGCACAAAGAGAGGACGAAGACAGCGAACTCGCCTTCAGCAATGACCACCACGATGACGACACTCGTCAGAGGCAACGACGATGGACAGCGCGGCAATAGACAGAGCAGCCACAACGAGGACACATGGGGGCAACGACGATGGATTGCACAACAACAAAGACCGTAACGAGAGCACGGGATGTGGCTACAAGAGGTGGGCGGGATATTATGCATCAGTGTGGAGTTGAAAATCAAACCGCGATCGCGGAATTCGAATTCGAACCCCGACTGAACCTGGGCTAGCCATTGTCCTGGATTGGGGGCGCATATTTCAATAGGAAAAAAAGGGCCAAAAAAGGGGCCTAATGGGCTCTGATTTTTTTCCCCAGCGCCTCCGAGCAGGGAGTGCCCGTCTCTGTGGCGCAGGGGCAAGGAAAAAACGAAAGGATTGTACAAGCGATTATGCACTGCATGGCCCGGCGGTTGTCCAAGGCGAGTTGCGGGGGAGGTAGGTGATACCCGGGCGGCCCAGATCGTAGCCTAGCTCTTCCCCGGATTTTCGTGCAGATTCTGCATGATATCAGTGACGGCATCCAGTGCTCCCAACCAGGAGGGAGGAGATCAGGCCACTTTATGGCTTAAGCCACCAGTACCTCCACCTTTTTAGGCTGCTAACGCGATGGCTGAATCGGTGCGCCGCACGGGTCCATACGCATTTGTATCCGAGCCCCCCCAGAGAGGCCTAAGACACTCAGGAGTTGGCTGGTTCAACCCCATAAGGCTGCCCAGCCCCGTTTCAACCCCCCTGTTATTGAACCAGCCCTGGTTCAAAGCATATTAGAAAAGATTGGAAATTCTTCCCAGAGAAGGTGATAGCCCTGTATATTTTGTCCAATGGTTTTCATTTCAAGAAGTAAAACCCGCGCCGTGTTTGAATTCTGTGGGGGACCACCCTCTAAGCCCAAGTATTTCTCAGTGACCGATAGTGTACAAGTACTGTGAGGGAAAGGTGAAAAGAACCCTTGGGGACGTCCTGGGCCCTGGGAAATTAAAGCACCAGAGGGGAAAACTTCCAACCCCAGGAGACTGCATAAAATAGACCAACGGTGCAGCTGTTCCCCCACCCATTGTACCAGTGCTAAGGAATGCAGACACCTGATGGAGGAAGGCTGGAAAACCTTGGAATAACGAAAAGCTATAACCCGCCTGGAAATATCTGGAAATTTTTACAAAATCCGCTCCCTTGCCCCAACTTCCCTATCCCACGCACTGATGACACCCCCACCCCCATCATCACACCTCGGACATACCTGACCCAACAAGTGCAGGAAACCCGACAGCACACAATCAAGAGGCTATGCGATCTCAAAGCACTTACAAAGCCACGACGACTTTCGGCAATGGCATAGATGCTTTGGAACATCGCCACGTGGGCTGACATGGACCTCCCATACCTATTACCTACCTGATCCAGACCAGCGAAAATGTGGTATAGGGGTCCGGAGCCTTGCTTTGTCCATGTGGGGTTGTGGATGCTTGTTTTGAGGTTTACTGTGTTCATTGAATTTGCATTTTCCACAGGAACTACTCTACCTTCCCGATAAGCCGGCAACCCGCAAAGAATAATATGCAAAGAAATATAATCCCGAGCAGGAACTTTCAAGCAACATGCAAAGAATAATAATCCCGAGCAGGAACTACAGTTACATTCTTCAAAGGGCGGTCTAAGCATGTCTGTGATCCTCGGGGTAGTACTCGCACCGCGTCTGGCAGAGGATGCGGATTTCGCCTGGGTGTTTATTCTTGCAAACCGGCAAGCTGGTACATCCCGCCAGACACAGTGTGCGCACAGCTGCGTCGTGGAAAAATGACTGAGAAAAGCGTTTGCAGTTCAAGAGTGCGCAAACGATTATGTCATGGCCAACAAACTTGCCTCCCGTTTTCCGTCTTCTATCTAGTTCCCCCTACCATTCCTCCTCTCTCCTTCGAGTATCTTGACGAACATACGGAGTACCTGCACATGATGGAACATACAAATGGTGACCTCTTTTGCAATCCATACATCTTACGTTTCTACAGTACATTGCTTCCCTGAATCACCGGTACTTTTCCCCAGCGATTCTTTGCAGTACTTACACATGACTGCAGCCATTTTTCGTCATTACTTATTGCCACCAATTTAACAAAATTGCTCGAGGCGTCTTCCTACGAATACAACGCCGTTCATGATAGTTGTGTATCCATCCAGAATGAAAGCTGCACCAAAACAGTTACAATAGGAGCTCTCTCTCTTAGGGTCAGAACGTTAGGCTATCCATTACTCAGAGCCGCATATTTCCAGACACAGGGAGAACACACACACACACAGAGAGAGAGAGAGAGAGAGAGAGAGAGAGAGAGAGAGAGAGAGAGAGGAGAGAGAGAGAGAGAAGGGAGAACACACACACACACACACACACAGAGAGAGAGAGAGAGAGAGAGAGAGAGAGAGAGAGAGAGTACACAACCATACATTTTAACACAGCAGATTATGGGGAAATTATGCACCATTTTGGTAAAAGTCCAGATGTGCAACATTCGTGCACGAATAACAACAGCGAGCTAGCGAACCGCATGGTTGACAGACATGCTGATGCACGCAGCGGCCTATCCAAACTACCATTGTCTAACATGCCAGGACAAAAGGAGAACATCTAGACAGGCATGGTTAGACTTCCAATCTGGAGGACAATGTGAGAAATCATTTGCCTTCTTCACGATCAACTTGTAGGCAATTCACATGTCGCAGACTGGAGCTGCCACACAAAATTTGGGAGCTGTTTTCTTTGGAACATGGTTCTCACCCCTGACTGCCCTTTCTAGTGTTGGCCTGGCCTTTTTCATTCTCTGCTCAGGTCAGCCCAGCAGGCAATGGTACCATCTCAAGAAAAACAAACGAGTTGCAAACGAGAGAGCCGCTCCAAAGCTTCCTCCACAGCATTTTTTAGGGGCAAACGCCACAAAACCTACCGGTCTGTTACTGCTAGGGAGGCCTCAAAGTCGACCCCAGTCATCAGGATTACTCTATTAATATTCTTGCACGCCAATATTCTCCCTTCTTTCGTCCTCCAGGTATGAGCAAGGTTATAGGTACATATACGACAATATGTAGTCTGCTACATACTACATACTTACTCGTGCCAAACCCGTTAATAAATGATTTAAGTATCCAAACAACAGAAGCAGATATCCCTTTCCCTCTCCCCGCAGAGAAAACAAACACAAAACCACTACAACTTATCGAAAACACCGCTCCTTTATAAGCAACGCACGGCCTGGACATGCAGACAATCGTCATCTAGACAAACTGTAATGTGCATGCTGATGTCCACACCGTATTCTTTTGCAGGGGCCATGCTGTCGTTCCAGTTAGAACGAACATCCTGAAGGACAATCCAAGTATATTCCCACAGCTGCCATGTTGTAGATGCAGTTATCGGCTGCGGCAGTCATGTCATCATCCTTTGGACAAAAAAAAAGAAAAGGGAACGGCATGGAATTAGAATGCTTAGGCCAGAACAGGAGACAAAAATAACGCCATAATGTACCTGCTAGTATGTAGCATCTAGGATTCCGCTGCAGACCCTCTAGTTCCTAACTGCGCATTTTATGTCTCTCGCATCAACCAGGGAAAACGCTCATGTCCTCGATGAAAGACTTCTCGCCAACGCTGGATTCCCATAATCTCCTGTCATCTACCGAAAGAACTCAGTAGGACTAAAATATCACTCACCTACAAGATGGGTTCTCGATCCTTTCATACTCCTGAAACCTGCAAGAGAGAGTCAAGAATATAGCACGCAATGCAGTACAGGACGCTCGGAGACAATAGCACATGACACACTCTAAAAGGCACAAAAGGTACACGATGAGGGGATTGGAGAAAGCCTATGGCCGACATTTTAACAGGCTGACTAAGGGCCTTGCTCCACTACTCAACATTCTACACATATCTAACGGCGAAATGTACCAGATGCATTCAGACTGATCCAACATTCTGAACGTATCCGATCCGTTACCAGCTCCACATACATTTAGAATGTTCCGCAGTGGAGCGAGGCCCCCCTATGGACGAATGTTGTACATCCACATCACATCATTCAGTCAAATTCTTCTTAGCCTAGGTTTTTGTGCTTGTCCTACATACCCCCATTATGCTAACTGCAATCACCACACGCACTCTTTTCGTATCCAGTCCATACGCGGTTTCTACCCACAGCACACCCAGGTGGGCAAATCCATCGCCTTGGAAATGTCTTTAAGGTCCATCGTGGTATAAACTCTGTTGACAAAAATACATTCTGTAATCTCACAAACACCCTCTTGCAGGGTAAGCAACCATCCTCCCACTCCCCACAAGATCTCATTCTGACGACTCCAGAACGAAGGCATGACCAGGCAGAGAAAATATGCGCAAAAACTTGGGTGCAAAAACTTGGGTAACCGATAAATCCCTGAGATCGGAAGGATACGCAGTAACCCTTCGGTTCGGGAATTGGAGTGGGGAGTAGATAGTAGTCGGTCGATATGACCACATAATGATCTGAAACCAACTGTGAGGGGAAGGACAAGGGATTAGACACAAAAGGCAACAAAAGAACTCCGGAATTTCACCAGAGCGAGAAATCACAGTCTCAGCCTCGCTCGTGTAGAGCACCTGGTCACTGTCATAATGCTTTGCTGTACCTGCAACCTTAACAAACACAAAAATAGGTGACCTCTGGACATCACATCTTATGAAGCTCAATACGAAATGGCGAGCGCAGCGAGGGCCTATTCCTTTCTACTTCCAGAGTGACAAGTCTCACTTGGGATGGAACGCCACACATGATGACAGTCACTAAATGAGAGGAGAGGGCTGCGAGAGTTGTCATGCACACGAGCGCGCATGTGTGCGCACGTGCGTGTGTGTGAGAGAGAGGGAGAGGGAGGGAGAGGGAGGGAGAGAGAGAGAGAGAGAGATCGGAAACACCTTGAAGAGTATCTCACTCCTATCATATCCGCGATTTCACACTACTCACAGAGATCCTTGGCCCCGCATTCTGCCTCTGCCCCTTCCTGCTGATGAGATGCGCCCACCTCGAACAACCCATCCACTGGGATTTTTCCAGATGTCTCCACGGCCCCTACCCCCTCGAGAAACCCTTCCCTGAACCCTTTTCCCGCTTACGCTGCTGGTCCCATCTTTCTGTCCGTTGGTTGCTTCATTGTTGTCATCACCAGCTTCTGGAGTCGCTGTCCCCTGTGCTATGACATCGATAGGCAACATCGGTTTTGAAACAGTCTTCCCTTCGTCGGTGCTCTGAGCGCCCTCCTTTCCTCTGCCAGCTGCCTTCTTTCCTGACTCTTTCTCCTCCTCCTCGAAGCTTGGCTCCAACTCGTTCTCCTTTACACCAGCACCCGGGAGCTTTAGCACCCTATTCTCTAAAAGGGTACGAGCACCAGCCTGCTCACTAGATTTCGCACTCTCACAATCGTTGGCTTCCTCCTCCCAAGTACCCGCATCACCATCGCTTGCACCCTTGCCCTGCTCACAAGGCATAGTTCCCATGCACCCATCCCCTTCCAGGTGCCCTGATGGCAGCTTCAACTTGGGGGAACCACTACCAGCACATTCCATATCCGGCAGCTTCGACACGGGGGAACCACGACCAGGGCCTTCCACTTCACTCAGGTAACCAATACGACCACACGAGCCTGCTGCGCTCATCACCGTACGTGCGACTTTCCCGACGACTCCTCCGTCATTTGGAGACAGCACGTCATCATCAGCACCGGCAGCAGGACTTGGAGTTCCCACATCTTCCTCGAGAGGCGACCAGCAGGGGCGTCCAGCGCCCTTCAAAGGCTCGGTGACACAAATGACATCCTCTGTTTCAGTGCAACTGGGAACAGCAGGCATTTCTTTAGCACCCTTGTGAGAGACATCGCCTGCTACCATTCTGTCGATCCAACCAGTTCCCATATCGTCAAGGCTATCATTTATCTGCACCACATCAGCAGCAGCAGCAGCAGTAATATCAGCTCCAAGTGATGCGGTCCAAGGGACAACACCTTCAGTGTTAGCTTGCCCTGATAACACCCCCCCACTCTGATAATGGCAGCCCCCACCATGCAACAATCCCCCAACCACAGGCAAGCCACCCTCCAGCATTGAATCATCCCCAGCAGGAAGCGATCCAGCAGCCTGCAGCACATCCACGTCACAATTTCCATCCCCGACCTTGACATCAAGACGAACACAGTCAACATTACTTTGCAAACCAGAAAAACCATCAGCAGCACCCCCGACCTTGACAACAAGACCGTTCCCATCATCCTTCCTATTGTCACCTGCTGCTACAAAATCATCTGCTTTATCCACTGGGAAATCAGAATGACCCTCTGTATTGCCATCAGTATGTGAGACCTTAAGAGAAGAACCACTCCTAACTTCTTCATCGCATTGACACGCGTACTCCCCTGATTTATCACCCTTGTTCATTTGACCACGCTGGGGCAGGTCGCAGAGAGCAAGGGCCTCCTCCCCCTCGACGCTAGGACAGACACCGCACTCACGACCTTGCTTCTCTGGTTCCGTCTCCTGTTGCAGACCGAGTACGTTTTGAATCGACAGCCCCCTGTCCCTCAATAGTTTTCGAGAGCAGTGGACAGAATACGCAACCCCCTCATGGTCGGAGCCGATGTCATCACCATCGAGATAAAAATCATCTGCCAGACTCACACCGATGCCAGCAAAACTGTCATCGTCCACAACAGAACCGACATCTCTATGCTTCTTTATAGCTCCGTTAACGGGTTTCTTAGAACCCAGGTTAGTTGCATTTGCAGTGCCTTTTGGATTCGTTGAGTCAGAATGAATAGAATAACTGACTTGACCTGGTTTGGCAGGAGAACCCACTCTACCACCCAGACGCGATAGAACAGATCTTCGACCCTCCTGATTCACAACAGAATTCCCAGCATCAGCCTGGGTAGCTACAGGTCCAGCATGCACGGACAGGTGATCTTTCGATCTGGCTCCTTCCCCTGCACTGCTTGCTCCTTTGCTAGCAGCAGCAGCAGACCCCCCCACCAGGTTTCCATTTTGCATCTTACCCGTTAGCCTCCTGAATCTTCCCCTCGGAATATCTGGCGATGTTGGCTCGTCGCCCACAGGTTCTTCCGCTGATGCTAATTCTCTAGAATGACGAGACCCCTTTCTTCCCCGTCGCCTCCCCCTAGGCCCAAGTTCATTATTTTCTTCCTGTTGAGCAGAGGTCCCACCTGCATTACTTTCCTCTGCTTGTTGCTCCTTGCTCTCTCCACTCCCAGCCTCCTTGCTTTTGTCTACTCCAGCCTTCAGCCCGTCAATGCCACCCTTTACACCATTCCCCTCCTTCACTCTGCCTCCCAGCCGTGCTTGGATAGGCTTCTTCGAGTCACCTGCTATCGATTCTGCTGCTGATCGCTTAGCAGCCCTACTATTTGAACCTGGGAGCGCTCCAGCACCTCCCTTCTCTTTCGCCGTGCGGAACAGCTCAATTAACTTTTCCACCTGTGATATAGCATGCAATGTCACAGCCAAAAGTCAGTGTCTGACAAACTCCCCCCTCCACACAAACTTATTCCGCCCTTCACGACACCTCCACGAAAGCACATCCGAAAAATCCGACCATCTTCGCAAAACGACTCCTCACGACTAATTCACGTAACCAACGCATCCAGACAACCATTTTCCCCATTCACCAAACAGGATTAGCAGCAAGGAAACAAACCCACAGATCATATACCTTTCTCGGCCTTCTGCCTAAGATTAAGTTCAGTATCTGTTCTGACCAGTCTAATATCTGGCCGTGGTCCATCGGACCACATGATATTAAATTAAAATTTCATAATTAAAATAAAATCAAGCCATAGATCCCCACGGTGGAGCAGCAAGAACACACAGGCCCAAGGGGCGGGGTATTTAATTAAAATTTCATAATTAAAATAAAATAAAGCCATAGATCCCCACACCAAACAGGAGCAGCAGCAAGAACACACAGGCACAAGTCCTGCCACGCGCCATACCAGAAGCCTATTGCCTGTCCCTGAAATTCACGCCACGGGTGGATCTCTCCGGAATCTCACATGACCGAACAATTTTCAGTCTGACAAATTTGGTTCTTTCAGTCTCACACCAAAGGGATGCTTGTTTTCTTTTTTTTTCTTTTTTGTGGTTATGAGCACGTCGTTTTTTGAAAGTCTGGCCGTGCCTTTTTATCCCTTTTTTTTCAGACGAGTACCAGAAAAGAAACAAAACGGAACCCAGGCTCGGCAAAACTCAGTGCGCAGTGAAAATCAGGGTCGGCAAAAACAGGCTCGGAGGTAGTGGTCTTTGAACTTCCTCGACAGTCGCTGCATAATGAGCACCCCACTTGTGGTACCGGCTGAGCATGAGCTCCATTTGCTACTTTGCCATGCCTGTCTGATGTTGAGGTAGGAGTCAAGTAGCATGCTGTCCTCTGCACACGCCTCGCTAAAAGGGTATGAACAGCCCATAGCCTCCAGTGCTACTTGGCGAGCGGCGAGAGGTACGGTAGAGTAAGAGTTCTTTTCCATATGGGCAGTAGTGGAGATCGAAAAGACAATTATTTGTCATTCATATTCCCCATAATTATTCATTGCCAATAAGAGCTGCCCCGCAAGAGGGACGACAAGGGTAAAAGACAGGAGGAGGGAGGTTACACTGGTGTAAGATTGTGTTTCTACTTCAGTTCTTATTTCTCTCTCTTCTTAGTCTGATTTGTCTTCTTCTTCTTCAGTAGTTGTGAATTACAATAAGACGAGTTTTTGCATCACGAGAGGGAGTCAGTCCTGGGACAGCCTATGCGACCAACGCATCCATGGATGTCGACACTGGCGCACGTCTTTCCCTGGAAGTAAGAGGTGTTCATGCGTCACCAGACGAAGTACTGTGTGAAGCAGCCTGCCCCACAAACATGCCGTCTGACAAAGCTAACAACGAAAAATGGGATTCAACCCCTGAAAGCCACAGCCCATAGCATTTGTGACACATCCATGCGTGTGCCTGGGTTTGCACATAAAGGCAGCTCATATGCATCTGAGAGCTGAACAACAGAGACGCGTGACACCAGAGACATCCGATATGTGAACACCATAGAGATGCATGGGATTGGGTGCATATGGGCACCCATGTTTCCACGTGTTTGAATGTGCATGTTTTCATCAGTTTATGTGCATGCATGAGCACTCTTGAGTTTTCACCAAACTCGGGTGCCATCATAGACCACTGCAAGGATTGGCCCAGATCGCATGTAAAACCTGATTCAACGGACTGTGGAAGAAATGTATATATCATTTGCCATTCCAACTTGTTGGCACAATCGCCTCCCCGAAGAGGTTGTGAAGGATGACATAGTTTAAATAGTTTATAACTTTATACGATAGAGCCACAGAGTGAGTTACACCTTTCTCGGCCTTTTGGCTAAGATCAAGTGTAGTATCTGTTCTAAGCAGTGTAATATTTGATCCGTCGTCCATCGGACCACACAAAAAAAAGAAAAGAGTCACAGTGTGTCCATGACTGCCTCATATAAACAATCCTAACACATGGTGTGCTGCTTGCATCCCAGGAAAAGCCATGATAGACATGAGCTATTCAAGCAAGACAGGTGCAGAGTGCAAGGCAGGCCAAGTGACTGCAGGTGAGCTGACTGTAGGTGAGCTCCCCGTGCTTACAACCCCATCCACGTTGCGCCATCAGTATATTACAAGGGTACCTGTTGCGGCTTCGCTCGCAAGGGATTGAGGGGAAATGGGAGAATTGAGTCGGGGCAGTGGGTTAGTGGGTTTTGGGATGGTGGTCGTGGGTGTTTTTAGACTCATGGTCCCGTGGGGGGTTGTGCCATAACAGCTATGGCAATGTGTGTGCAGCACCTCCTGCTAGTTGGGGAGGTTCTGCAACAGCTGGCATGCTATGTCTACCCCTACTGTCTTACCCGACTCTAGACTGAAATTCAGGGGCGGACCTTGGTTGGTATGGCACGCAAGTGGCATTCACGAGGTACAAGGGCACCTGTTGCGGCTTCGCCCGCAAAAAAGAAAGGGGTTCCATAAAAGTGTCGGGCTGGGGGTCGACGGTCGGAGTGGGTATGGGAGGTGGGTGCGAGTGAGTGTGAGTGAGAGAGGGGGGGGGTAGGGGTGGCTTGG